GAAGGTGATCCTTCATCTTCACCTATCTTTTATGTGAAGGTGAAGGAAAATATTAGAAGTGAGAAAAAATATTATGAATTATGACAGCAAGCGGGCTGTCCGCCTTGCTGGCACGATGTGTGTGTGTGTTTGGTAGTCAAGTTAAGCTTAGCTCTCTGTTGCAGGGAGCTGTGAGTGTGTGCAAGGTTCCTCGTGTGTATTTCAGCATATATGGATGTTTTTATTTTTTATTTGTTTTTATTTATATATATACAAGGGTTATTACATTCTTGTACAGTCACTAGTACGCATAGCGTTTCGGCCAAGTCCTTAATCCTAATTTTCACGCACACACATCCCCAGGAAGCAGCCCGTGCAGCTGTCTAACTCCCAGGTACATATTTAATGCTAGGTGAACAGCCGCACCAGGGTGTAAGAAACTCTGCCCATTTGTTTCCACCTCCTCCGGGGATCGAACCCGGACCCTTAGGACTATGAACACCGAGCGCTGTCCGCTCAGCCGTCAGGCCCCCCCCCCCCCATAAGCTTTATTTGCCTATTTAGGAATGTCTATAGATAAATACTGCGTAGCATTCACATACACTCTGATGATTATATACGTTTTGACGTTTAATTTTCGGATCTTTTTCTTTTTGAGGTGGACGAGAGGACTCTGGTCTGTGTTTCATCCTGGGATTATGTATTGTGGGTCTTGGGTTCCATCGAGTCGATCCAAGTTGTGAGGCCACCAGCTGGTGGATGGCTGTTATAATCTCATGTTAAGATGGTGAGCGGTGTTTTGCTGCTCTTCTTAACGCCCAATTTTGCACTGCTTGTAGTTTTTACGTGTTTGTTTTCTTTAAGGAATGTAGAGGCACTGTAGGGGACTCAAGATGCGGCCGGACTAGAGCCTTGTATAACTGTAGCTGTGTGTTGGTGCCAAGATTACGGAATTTCTTCAGTCTTCCTAAGGTTGTATTTGCTTTGTTTATTCTGTTCTTTACGGGAATTTTGATTACGGAAACTCAAGATTAATAGAGCAGTAGTCTACCCGCATCCGTACGCTGGATAGGGTGCTTGTCAAGGATAATATCCCTCTGTTTTTTTCGTAATGTGTATTATTTGAAACTTTTTGGCAATTAATGGTGCTACATAGCCTTCCCGGTTTGGTGCCTTCTATTGATAATTACTTACTTTTTGGCAATTATTTCATTGCTTTTCAAAGTTGTTTAAGAGATCAGTTACTGCCTTGGTTTTTTTTTTTTTGGTAGTAATGACTGGTTGTCGTGTGAGACAGCCTATTTGAGTTACAGTGTCATCATATGTAATGCAGTCAGCTGACTATATGTTGAAAAGTGCAGGTGGTAGGCAGCTTCCTGGTAGCACTTCACTTTACGATTTTGTCACCCAAGCATCTGTTGGGTGACAAAATCCAATTGAAAAGTCGAGTGCCACGAGGCTGGGAATTGTGGTCGTCAGTAATACCGTCGACTACGGGCGGAGTGAATGGCACGACTCTCCTGTGCCTGGCTCACCATGCTGTTATAGACGCACGTGAGTGTCACTGTTATACCTCAAGATGGCAATTCGCGAGTTAAACCCTGACTACTCCTAGAGTACCTGAACTATAATCATCCGCGGGGGGGAGGTGACCATAACCAGGCCGGAGTACTGGGGGCAGAGGAGCGTACAAGTCGCTGTGTAAGACTATAATCACTGTCAGTGTCCCGCCAGGGGGCCAACAACCATATACCGTGTGTGATAGTCCCCCCTCCACGCCCCCGGTTGTCCCTTCAAACTGATATTATTATTATTATTATGTCTCCGCCTTAAACCGGATCAGATAGTAGAAAAAAAATAAAGTTCCAGTGTACGTGCAGGCGACGAGTCACAATAACGTGGCTGAAGTATGCTGACCAGACCACACACTAGAAGGTGAAGGGACGACGACGTTTCGGTTCGTCCTGGACCATTCTCAAGTCGATTGTGATCTCCAGTAACAATCGACTTGAGAATGGTCCAGGACGGACCGAAACGTCGTCGTCCGTTCCAGTGTCCGTGTGTTGGCCCGCGTATCTGTGCAACCCGACCTCCTAAAAGCACGTCGCACTTTGACGTACACTTTACCTAAGGCCAGAAACGTAACCAAATTCACTTATATATAAAAACTGCTTCGCATGGGGCCAACAGACCCATGCAGTTTTCTTTAATCTTATGTTCTTAATTAAATACTACTTCATTGCAGACGATGAGTCACAGTAACGTGGCTTGAAGATACGAGAACTAAGCCACACTCCAGAAGATGACGAGACGGCGACGTTTCGGTCCGTCTTGAGCCATTATCAAATCGATTATGTTGGGAGCGATTGATTGATGAAGATTCAGCCAGCCAAGAGGAGCCACGGGCTGTTGAACAAATCCTCGTCACGGCCTTTGTGGATTTGTTCATTTGATGCATCACGTTAGTGTGATCTCTGTGTGGCACGGGCTGTTGTTGTTTGTTGTTTAAGATTCAACTACTGGGAACAAAACGTTCCAAGTAGCACGGTCTATGGTGAGCCCCTAGTAAGACTTACCTGGCACAGGAGCAGGGCTGTAACTTGGGATGATGTGGCACGGGCATGAATAGAACGTAATATAGGAGCAAGGGAGGCACGGGCAAGAGTGAGGTGAGGAACAGGTGAGAGGAGGAAATTCCTAGAAGGAAAGCACAAGGTGAAAAGGTCAGAAGAGGCAACAAAGGGGTATGGATGTAATGATAGGGTGACGGAATGGTTCGTTACCCTATTATTATATATAATGCATGTAATAATAATATTATATAACAATAATATCATTGTTATATAATAATATCATTGTTATATAATAATAATATCATTATCATATAATAATTTATATATATTATATATATATTATTAAAATATATATTATTAAAATTATATTAACATATAATATTTTTATATTTTATTATTATTATTATTATTATTATTATTATTATTATATAATGAAAGCAGCGTGCCGTCATGTACAGCAGCAGTAATAGGAGAGAGCGGCTGTGTAAACGTGCTCCAGTTATACCAATTAACCAGCTCGAGCACGGACAGGGAGGCCTTCTGGCTCAGCATGCGAACGAGGCCACGGTAAGTCCAGTGAAGTACTCCTCTGCTAGGGTGTGTTATACAACAGTAAGTCCAGTGAAGCACTCCTCTGCTAGGGTGTATTATACAACAGTAAGTCCAGTGAAGCACTCCTCTGCTAGGGTGTGTTATACAACAGTAAGTCCAGTGAAGCACTCCTCTGCTAGGGTGTATTATACAACAGTAAGTCCAGTGAAGTACTCCTCTGCTAGGGTGTGTTATACAACAGTAAGTCCAGTGAAGCACTCCTAGGAGGGTGTACTATACAACAGAAAATACAGCGAAGCATTCTTCCGGAGAGTGAGGCGCTCCTCGGGGGAAACTATTGACAACAGGAGATACAGTACTACATATTGTTGTATAGATCAGTGGAGCGGCGCCACTGTTGTTGAGATTAGTGCAGCTTCCTCTAGACTCTAGTGGGCTAGAGTCTCGACTCTCAGGCCAGGCTCCACAACATTATAGAGGGCATGAATATGGAGCTGTTGCATGGCAGGACGCGGGCAGCATGCAGAGTCTGTACCTACTGTCCCAGGGAAAGGGGTCGAGATCAGGGCCTCCACGGGCGGGGAGTTGAACTACAGTTCCTGGGGCCCGCCTCCCTGAGGGGTTTGCCTATCTGTCGTTCGGTTAAATTCCTTCATTTGAAGTTACGAATGGGAGTGGTTATCTTTCGATATCCTGTAGTCTGATTCCATTTCTTCACGTGCTATCACTGTCCGGATGATTGCTGGTTTCTTACGGAGTTAGCTTTACACCTTTCTTCCTTGGGAAAAGATTCGTCAAACATTTATGCAACCACTTACGAAGCCTGTACATCTGTTAGCAATCATGGCGGCTTTGTTTACCTTTGATCATTTTCGAGCTTGGAAACTTCAAGCCCCAATGTTATTATTTATCAACAACCTCGTAGTTTTCGAGGGTTTGAGTTGTGGGGTTGTGTTGGTGGTGGTAGCAGTATTGTAGGGGGGTTGGTAGTGCTTGGGGGGGGGGGGGAGGTTAAAGGTGTGGGTAATAGTGGGTTGGGTATGGGAGGTGTAGGTCAGGGTGGGGGTTGGTGATGGAGGTTGGGTATGGGAGGTGTAGGTCGGGGTATGGGTGTAGGAGGTGTAGGTCAGGGTATGGGTGTAGGTCAGGGTGTGTAGTACACAGCGAGGTGCTAGGCGAGGTCCACCTTGCGCTCACAGACATACAAAGATGAACAACGTGATGTTAGTTCACAATCAGCTGTCGTGTTGACAACATTAAAACAGCCGGATGGTTCTGCTGTTATGAGTGCCCAGTGGAGTAACGAGGACCACCAACGAGCCGAACGGACACCCCAAAATGTAAAAAGCTGTCCTGTGCGTGTATCAGTTCTTTCAACGTATGAATATATTATTATGTTGAGTACTTGGCCATAGGAGTATGTTGCAGCCGTTGGCGTTGTCAATGAAAGCACGTCTCGCCAGAATTACCTGACGTCCGTGCCGGCGTACGCGACGCTCCTGCTAATTCCTCTCCTCAGCTGTCGCTTGCCAGCTGCCACACGCCGCCGCATCACAGGAGAGGCGGACGCCTTGAGCCCACTGGCATACGATGCCCGACAAGGGGTCGAGTCAATGTTTACATTGGTGGTCACTTTAAATAACATTCAAAATACTACCTGGGTGACGAAGGGGTTTCCTTGAAACTGATTGGCTCGGAACGAGCGTAGAATAGCGGCGAGTTCTCGATTGGCTCAGCCAACGGGTGACGTAATGCCAATTCTAGAAATTTATCTGCTTCAATAACTTACTCTGTTGCCTCCCTGTTAGATAAATTACCACGTTGCTCTAGCGGTAGTTTGTGTGAAACAAGCTATATAGAATAGTTCCCCCCCATCACAAGATTACCTGGGCGCTAGGAGAGGAGGGATGAATTGAATGAATGTGAAATTCAGTGTAGAAACTGGCAACTAGGTGGTGGCGGCGAGAGGTTGAGGTTGAGGGAGAAGCGACAGTGTATGCTGGCCATGTGTGGTGAGAGGTGTTAGTGCGTCTGCGGGTGTAGGGCAGTGTCCTCCTTGTGTTACTTTATTTGTTATTTATACAGTGAAGTGGTGCTTGTGTCGTACTGGTAATCGAGTTGGCTTGAACAAAATAATCGAACGCTGTGGATATTCCCTGCTTAACATTGCGTCCTTCGCTATGGTAAGTTCTTATAGTTATAAATGTGTTTAATTGTGATAAAATATTATTGCTCGATGTGTTCGGTTTATGTTTACTACGTGTATGTTTTTCAAACGCTGATTCTCTGATAAAAAGAGGGTATAAAAGTAGGCTAGTATAAGAATTTAATATTAAAGATTCTTGTGGTACTTCTTGCAATCAATCTTAGAGCTTGCTATCTATTGGGTATTGAAATCGCCACATTTTCCGTCCTTATCTTGAGGTTATCTTGAGATGATTTCGGGGCTTTAGTGTCCCCGCGGCCCGGTCCTCGACCAGGCCTCCACCCCCAGGAAGCAGCCCATGACAGCTGACTAACTCCCATGTACCTATTTACTGCTAGGTAACAGGGGCATTCAGGGTGAAAGAAACTTTGCCCATTTGTTTCTGCCTCGTGCGGGAATCGAACCCGCGCCACAGAATTAAGAGTCCTGCGCGCTATCCACCAGGCTACGAGGCCCCCTCAATTTGTATACCTATTTGTATGCATTATATATAATATATATAATATATATAATAATATATAATAATATATATATACATGCACATTGCGCAATAATCGTTGTAGCGTTGTTGACTAACGCTAGACGTCTGAACAACGCAACTTATGACAAGCAGTGAGGCTCGTATATGGAACAACTGTGGGTTGTGTTCACCAACAAGCAGTTAACCTATTGGTAGTTGTCTATTAGTGTCTACGGGGGAGTGAGGTCTAGCTATTTATGCCCCGCCTACTAGTCTTGTACCTGTTACGGTTCAACTTAACTGCTCTGATTTTTTAATTTTGTCGAATCGGGCCTTAAAGTTGTGGATGGAGGTGGCTTCCACAACTTCTCTGGTAGAGCATTCCGCTTGTTAACTACCCGTAGAAGGTAGGAGACCATGTATGGATGTATATTATACAAATGCTAATGTCTAATGGTTTCAATAATTTATTAAGTAGAATACTAGCTTCCATAAAAAAGAAATAGGTTTCAGTGTTAAAATATGGAACGTGCAAGTCTTGCTTCGTGCACATCCAATTCCAACACAGTGCTCGAGTACAACTTCGACTACTGAACTCCACCCAAGTACGTCTCCAAGAAAACAACGATAGCCAAGGGGTCCCTGGCGAAGCTCTTCCGCTTCCGACAAGCACCATTTCACGTCAGTCTTCACTTGTACTGGATGATCATGAGAGCCAGCCTAGAGTACCCATACACCCTCCTCCTGAACCTCACTACCCAAACCAACAACGATCAAACAAGCTCAAAATAATGCACTTCTCTTTGCGGCGAACCTGTCGCTGGCTGACAGAGTGAGGACCGAGCAAATCCAGAGCCCTCAAAATGATGCCAATGAACATTAGACTCTGCAAGAAAACAGCTGTATCATATGAAGCAGTTCTATGTCCTGGACCGCGAAGATCCAGAAGTAGCCGTCAACACAGCCAGCGACTACGAGATCCAAGAGCCGGCGCGCAGAACCAGAAGAATCACTCTCCAGCAAAAGGACTTCCCGAAACCACAAATACTGTACGGATTACCAGAAGAGTGGGCCCTCACGGACTTGGTCTATACCCGAAAAGTAAGAAAAAATACAATAAAGCAAAATAAAAACGAATTCAACTAAACAATTTTTTTTCCTGCAAGCAGTGTAGTTAGCCTAGTGTTGTTGAGAATAGCCTCCTATAGCCATTTTTCAATGCTACCCAGACATCAGCTTAGACACCCCACACTAAAAAGCCTAGCTAACGAACTGACGTCTCCACACCACACACAAACTAATATCTCATACCAACCCACGGTGGACAGACCATCGAACTTTCCATCCTCCTCGTTCACAAACGCCATCCTCTTCCAGAATTTCAAGTTTTCATCCTCTTTCTTTCCCCAACCTTCTCCAAGCCCTTTGGTAATCGAAAACGACGACTTTATACAGCGATGTTAATAACTATTGGTGAAATCAAATTTGTCACTTGTATAGCTTGACATTAAATTACCAAAACTGTACTGTATTGATTAACACCACACTTGTTCGCTTCGCAAGCTACTATGATCTGGGTTCGAACCCTGAACGAGGTAGGAACACTGGACACCGTTCCTTCACTCCGTATGTTCCTGAGCTACCACCAGTAATTGGGACCTAAATGTAGAACAATTGGACTATTTTTTAAGGAAAATATAGCGTTGATTAACCTAATCGGTTCCAGTAACCTACTTGGCTTATGACCTAAATCCCAACATAAAATTGTTAGTTTAAGATATAAATGTAAATCAATGTTCTACGTTATTTGTAATTTCGTAATAATACTTTACATTTCATTAATTTTTTACATTTTATTTTTATAAAAATGTAATTTTTATTTTTATTATTCGTAACTTGTATTGGTAATATTTGTTACCTCTGTTTTATCCATAGTCCTTGAAATGACAGCAATAATTAGGTTATTAAGACATTAAATGGTCAGTTTCATGTGTTGCGCTGCTTTTTCTCATTTGGGATCGACGCGCCTTAGCCACTGTTTTCAGTGTGTTCAGGAAAAACAAGTGTGAATGAACACCTATTGAATAATAAAACGTTTACAGAGGTGCTGTCAGTGCGACAAAGGCATCTATTCCTAGACAGCAGTGCAACTCTGATCAATACCGACGATGAGGGAAGTTAAGCTGGTGTAGGCTTGTTGTGGTGCGATGCTCTTCTTCTTCTTTTGGGTGTTGTAATAGCCTTGTGTGGTCGGCGTCTGTGTGGCACCGCAAATGGCCGGTGGTAAATCTTCTAGAAGTAGTTAGTGTGTCAGGTACAGCTATTCACATGGGCTCGCCAGTGTATTTGTAAATACCTCGTTTGTCGGTGAGGCCGCCTGATCATCCACTCCTGGATTTATGCGTGTTTAACTTTCCCTGGCACTGGTTGGGTGTTGTTGTCTACTATGGTTGCAGGAGGTGACCAACCAGTAGAAGGCAGCCTGGTGTTGTCCCAAAGACAAGACACCAAGAGGTGGGAAACGAAGCTATAAATTCCTTAAATGACGTCTTCGAATTATGTCTCAGGCGTCAGATGTGAATAATGAACCGAATCAGTAGTTTTAGCTTTAAAAGTAACAGATGATGTGTAGAGCTCATAAATAGTTGCCACAATTGTCATTCTTGTCTGACTGAACATGCGTACACAGAGGGCTGTTACTGTCCGTCAGTGGTTGTAAGTTGATGAGAACATTGTTGGTACTTCTCTCGCAGTGGATATACTGCGGGAATGAAATATTCTCTTAAGGAAGAATGTTTTACCAAGGGACGACTCTATAATACATTATGAAAAAAATACAATTTACGTCTATATAAATCAAAAGAAAATGAAATATCAATAGGCTATGCCACTATATCAACTACAATTAAAAAAAATGACGGGTTATCACATGAAATTTGAAGACCCAGAAGCTAGAAAACATTAATAATAATGAATAATTTGAATGCAAGACGCCATCTCACAAAATGTTTTATTAATAAACGTTGCAGTACAAATAATAACAAAAACAAAAAGTGATAAATTGTGTGTCGGAAAATCCGACACCATTTAATATATCATACAGACAGATAATAATTTCTGCTGTATTACCAACAAGTTACCCATAGAAAACGTAACTTGTAGTGGAATTACCGTCTAAAGAAAACGGGATATCATCACCACACACTATTATAATTCACCACCTATTATGGTGGGAATTGTTCTTAAATACATTAGTCTTTGGACTTTACCATCATAAAAACATCTTATATAAATTAACTTAATTATCAATATTAAAGTAGAGTAAATGTGACCCTTCTATCACTTTCTGAAATCTGGACAAAGTAGGCCAGGCGTGAGGGAGGAAGGAGGGAGCCATTGTTGTTTATTGAGACCAGAGGCTCACACGGGAGCAAATTCGGCTCCTGTTAATTTTACTTGGACGTAGTGTTATGGAAACCAAAGGTACCATTGTCAACACGATGTCTACAATTCAAGTTAAGTCTATCCGAAACCCGTTTATCATTCATTTATGGCCATTAATGTCAGGATATAGGGTGACCCGGTTAGATCGCGAAATCGCCTCAAACTAAAGGTAATTAAGCCAGGTCTTCATGTTCCATGTACTCTATAGTGTTTTCTCTGATATAGCTTGTCATATATAGGTATCTGGCTTCACAGCTAGCGCACTTTTGACAGGTCAAGACGAGGATGCAAGATTATGTGCACCAGTTACTGGGTGATATGGAAGCTACCTCAAAGAGGATAATTTGGTGTCTACACCCTAGTTATACCTGGTGGACTAATCTGCTGTACTATAAGATAAGGAACCTCTTCAATGTATGTAGTTAATTTTGTAGTTTGATTGGCTGCATATATATAAACTAATAAACCCCCCCTAATGTGTAGAGGATCGATTTGTGAGATTAAGAGATTATTGCAGAAATACAGTCCACTTAACATTATACAAATTGCTATCGAAGTATATAAATTAACGTAAATATAAATTCATATAAATTAAATAAATATAAATCTCACAGGTCGGTTCCCACATTATTTGGTCATCTTCGAACCGGATGACGGATTATTTGATCCTTTGAACCCACATTTGGTCATCTTAGTACCGGATGAACCAGTTAACCAAACCAGTGGATTCATTAAATATCTAGTGCAGTGTGATTTAAACAAAGCCAGCAGTCATGACGGCGGCGTTGCCTCGTGCGAGTTCACGAGCCCCGCTCAGTTCAGATCTGCCTCATCAGCGGTTTCATGCACACCCACAGATATTTGGTGGCGTGTTATTTCGTGAAATGACAGCGCTAATATAGAATCCAGCCAAATTAGTGACTGTGTCTTCGCGAGATTGTTCACGGATTTCGTGGTGTTACATTTCGCGAGAGATTATCTACGAATTTTGTGGACTTTATTTCGCGAGGTCACTAATAATATTTAATACTTCTAGATAATATTAGAAGTTTCATAGAGGCTAATTAAGAGGC